CCCAAGATACTAGGCACAGATCAATTATTTCCTATTATAGCTCAGCAAAATCAAACAACTAACTTTTACACTTAAATTCACCTTTTGATAAAGGGAAATTAGGAAAGATCAATAGAGCAGGACACAACTGTCAAACCACAACTTCAGAAGAATCCTACCGATCTGACATCTGTCAAACATGCTCTGGACCTCAGGTATGACAGATAAACGATTGAAAGGGCTTGGATGTGATCATTTCAACACACCCACTGAGATATCAAACTGGAAGAATGAATTTGACCAGGACTGCCAAGCTGCTACCAACAACCCACAATTAGATATTTGTAGAAACTACAGCTTTCAGGGCTGTGATGCCTGGATTGGATTATCCTCTTCTATAGATGGGTCATTATCAGTGCTTTAAAAGCTGGGGCACTAGAGGTTCTAGTCTGGACACACAATGTTCACAGGCCCTCTCAATCAAAGCTTTGTGCACTTAACCCGGAGTATACAGTGCCAGTATATAGATATGCTAGCAAGGTAACGTTATCTGCTTTAAGATCGTATGTAAAACTAGGACATTAGCCACCCTCATCCTAATCTCACCATTAGAAGCATCGTTATTTGTATAGGTTAGATCGCCCCCCTAGAAATTCACTAACCTGTACTAAATCCCAATCAAATGAGACATTAATGCACCAACATATACAACGTAAACATTGATTTATGGCTATGTCGAGCGCGCGCACACACACACACACACACACTCACTCAATCAGGGCCTGGCCACATCAACCCCGTGTGTGTGTATGCATCATGTATGTACATGGTTGTGTATTTGTATAGGTGTACTGCAGTCCTCTGCTACACACATGCATGAAGCGCTTATTCTCACCTTCTTTATGTTGTAGATGCGCGTGAGCATCCCGATGCCGCGGTCGTTGAGGATCGTCAGTTTCTCCGCCAGCTTCTGCTGGCTCGGCTGCAGCGCGCTCCGAGACATGGCTCAAACGACCGTTAAAACGAGCTAAATCTCAACCGAACGGATTCCTCTTGTAGTGTTAAAGGGTAAAGTGCCAAAACGAGTTGGTTTTTAGTGTTAAAATTCGCCCATATTACGGGCTTCAGGCGCGTCGTCGGGATGTATTTTTTTTCTAGGTGTTGCCCTGACGGCCAGAACGAGGCTGCTTCCGGCAACGTCACTGCGTCACGTGACTGGAGCACTCCGCAGGACCGCCGCCCCCCAGTTGTTGCAACAAATTAGGTTATTTTCTGAATTCTTTTCTGTGGTTTTTATAGTTTTAAGCTTAAAATTGATTTGGTAAGTTTATACACATATGCAAATATAAGCAGGTATCCAATATTTTTGGAAAAAAAAATATTTGAAAGCGCCCGCTTCATTCATTCATTCATTCATTCATTCATTCATTCATTCATTCATTCGTGTTATAAAAATATATAGGCTACTCTTTTTCTCTCTTTTAAACATAAGTATAGCTTCAACAGTATTTTCAAACAGTTTTCACTAAATAAAAAAGTAGATTGTAATCTACTTGCTTCAGCTAGCCTGCCACCAGGGGCGTTTCTAGGTTTTAAAAACATCAGCGGCTGAACCCGAAACATCAGGGGCTGGGGTGGGTAACAAGATAACATGATTCCATACAGACAATAATGTATATTGCAGGCGTATATGCGGGGGCTGGCAAAAAAAAAAAAAAAAAAAAAACATCCTAGAGCTGCATTGTAACTGGTCTGGGGTTTGGGTCAGGGAAGGGGGTCTTAAAACCCCATGTCTGTCTCCATGCAGGATCCTGTTGTAATCACCTGTATAATGGAAAAATTCAGTTCTCAGCATAAGTGTATGTAATACCGTGAGTTTGATATTTGTAATTTTCCTTACCACGTTCAAATAATGTGCATAAATGTGAATCTCTGAAAATTCTTGAGTCATGCACAGATCCTGGCCATTTTGCTTTCACACTGATTTAAAATGGAACATGGTCACACACCATCTAAGAGATTTTACTCAGTCAACTGCCTTTTAAAAATATGGGGCCAGTTGTTCAAAGGTAAGCTGATCGGATTTTGGTTATCGGATTGGATCAAATCTTGAAAATGGGTTGTTCAAAAGGGAAAGAAGGAATCTGAAATCAGATTAGATCACAGAATCCAATCCTAGTTTTAATCTGGATCAAACCTTCAGTTTGTGTTGTTCAAAACTTGTCATTGGGATTTGGATAACTTTGATCCAAAAAAACAGGATTATCCTGATCCCAACAGGGGGTAGGATTTCAAGGTGGATTTCAGGAAGAAAATGTAAACTTTAAAATTGGTCAAATAATACATTTGTATCATTTAGTGTATACTTTTATTTATATTTTGCACTTGACTTGTGTAACAGTGATAAAGTAGACATAGGCTAACAATTAAGCTATTCAGTATAGTAAAGTAAAAATAAAATAAAAATTATCTTGTCCCCATTTGTGTTTTGTCTCAAAATAAGAAACAGTGATCCCAAGTTGGCTCTTCTACCTGTTCTTTACATAGCTGGTAGCCCACATTGTGATATGTTGTCCCATTTAGAGCACTGGTAATCTTGAAAACTGTGTATCTGGATCAGGGTGATCCAGTCCAATGTTGCTTTGAAAAACCGTTGCTTTGAAAAACAAAACTGTCTTTTGGACCTTGTAAAGTTCATTATATGGAGAAAAATCCTGGAATGTTTTCATCAAAAACCTTAATTTCTTTTCAACTGAAGAAAGAAAGACATGAACATCTTGGATGACATGGGGGTGAGTAAATTATCAGCAAAAGTTTTCTTTTACTCCTTTAAGGTCTGTTTACATGATATTTTTTTGTTACATTTACTTCCATTTATTGAACGCTTGGTAAACTTGAACCTTAGCATTCAGAAAATACAAGCTTGACCAAAAGAAAACCCAATGCCACATCCACACAGCAGCAGAACGTGATTGACACGTCAACTTTGAAAACACTTTCTAGTATTATGAATGTCATCATCTTTGAGGTTTCAAATCACTGCCAGAGCGGTTAAAGTTAACAGTCAATTTATGGCGAGAGAACAAAACTGATTGACATCGGTGACACCTATGATTCAAATACTGTAAGCTGTATGTGAAGGTTTAAGAGTCACACCTGTTATGGAAAGGTGAAAGCTGACGTTTGCTCAAATCTCTTCACAGGGGTAAAGGTGCTGAAAAATCAAAAATCTTCACTTTTCCAGGAGGAAGAGGAGAACAACAGAGAACGGAAAGACAGTCAGACAGAGTAAAAATGGCTGAATGACACGAGGAAGTGACATCATTTATAATATCCTTTTGGAGATGTTTTTTTTTTTTACTTGTTTATATGTAACTTTTTTTTTAATAATTAAAATAATTTGAAAGTAAATTTCAGGTGTTAACAATTAATGTCATGACGTCACTCCAAAATACTGTCCAATCCAAAACGTGGTGTATAAAAAACGCTGAGAGTTTACACTTTCAGTGGTTAGTAGGCTAGTTTACTTTTTTTTTCTTTTTTACACCATTGTACATTGTGGTAATGTGTTTTATTTCATGTTAACTTTCTTGTTGTTACATTTCATAATGAGTATAAGAAAACGGATGCTCCGTCGATGATGATTTAGCAATACATTGGGAAGAATGTGAAACCAATCACATCCTGCCACATTATTTTTGATCACCTCTCGTGGAAAGAGGCTGAGGCGGCATTGATGAATCTTTCTCTGACAGAAGCAATATTTTTGTAGGTATGACAGTTTTTTAATGCAGACGTGACTCTGAAGTCCCACACGGCTGTTGTACAGTCTCTGACACGAGTGTCTGAAATGTGGGGATGGAATTAAAGCTTAATCATGCTAACCAGGGTTTGAAATGAACACCGACCAAATGCGGGTGAAAATCCACTGTGGCGGGTAACTCATTTCAACGTAAGCCAATTTGGCGGGTTATGATTCATAAATTATGTTCTATCACTTTGCATGGCATTACTATCAGAGCCCTTCCCCTAAAAGAAGCCTCCCCAGACAGCAACATAGTGTCGGCCCAGATCCGGCCCACATCTGGTACACATGGATTTCACACGGCCCGGATGTGGGCCGGATCTGGGCCGGTGGCTGACTTTTTTTTGTCAGCCACCACCACCAGTTTTTTTTATTTTTATGAATATCTGAACAAAAACCTGTTTTACTCCATTTTTAGATTCATGCATTATTATTTATTTATCAACTAATAAGTTTCATAAAAAAGCTACATTTTGAGCAAAAATCTGACAAAATGCGTTTTTGTCAAAGACTACATCCAGATAGAATTCAGAAAGATCATCAAAACAGATTAGGCTAGATCGTGTCACCGAAAGCTTCAGCCCTATAGCTCGTCCTGGGTTGACATTTAATTCATTAATAAGCAGTCTGATAGGCTACTGTCTGTTGATCGTGTTATTTATATGATTACATATGGCTAGTTTCTTCTTCTTATTCGCCTGTGTTATTTTGATCAGGAGGTTTCAGTTCTCATTCAGAACTTAAAGACGTGTAATAGCGTCTACAGAATATAGAATTTCCGTCAATGGTGGGGAAAGAATTAAAATTCGAATTCAACACATTGTTATGCACACTGACAGAGCCAAACTATGACTCCAGCTGTTAAAAATAATTCAGCACAACAGCGTCACTCACATAGGGCTAGTTTTCCATTAAAAACACTTAAGAATTCAGCACAAATATTGTATATGTACATAATGACTTCACCCTAGGATATTGTGCATATTTCAGTCACAGTAATTTGTGGCTTGAATAGCATAAATATACTTCATAGCAAAGAGAAATCATATATATTGCACTTTCTCTTTCCATTTGCTCTTTTTACAAATGCCTTAATTCAAAGTCTAACAACACTTAGTTCATTCTTGAAGTGAACTTCTGTGTGTATTATGAATAGTTTCACTGGTTTGGACTGGTGTGTGATAAACAACTATACGAGAGGTCACAGAGAATTTTGTTTTTATTTCCATTTTATTTGAATGATATCCGCAAACATTGATCGACTGTTGTAAAGCTGAAAGCAATGCAATGATTCAGAATCAGATTTAATAATAAATATATTTAAATCTAAGCTGTGACTGATAATCTGGTTTATTTCTGATAGGTTTGTTTTGGCTAGTAGAAGTTTAGTAGCCAAATATATCAGTGAGTGAAAAGGTTTTTTTCAAACCCTGATGCTAACATGGTTATTTTAGATCTTTTGACACACACTCAGGCATACAGACACTGAAAATAATGAAATTATGTAAAAATAATCAGCCTTATATCACTTCAGTGTCAGAAGAGATTTCTACATTATAACAGGGCAATTTTTAAATGTGTTTGAACAGACGAGGGCTTGTTAACAGCACCATATTCATATTTTTTAAATCAGTAGTAGTTGAACAAGTATTTCCAAAAACTGTACTGAATGAATAACAAAATGTCTCAGTCTCTCATTGTTGACTTCAGTATAGCACATTCATAAAGTTTATAAAGCCTTAACAATTATAGGTTAATCTCACAAAACTAAGAAATGTCTAGGTACATTTCCCACCAAAAAGAAAGAAAGAAATGAAACATTTTGTTCCATAAAAAAATAGTCTTTTTTGCATGATGTCTTTTCATGACAATTAATATTGAATGCAAAGAAAATACATTTATCTTACAATTTATTTATTTATTTTTTTTACAATTATAGTATTTGTTGTACTGAATTTATGATGGTTTAATTTACACACACACACGCAAATTCTTTGCAGCTTTGGGGACAAATGTGCTGACTATGTGAGATGCAGTCTTCTTTTTTGATGCCTTTCTGTTTAATAAACTTACTTTTTACAATTTAACCAACCCTGAGCTCAAATGTGCTTTTAACCTCTGTGTGTGAAGATGAGGACTGCAAGTGTTACTTCAGCACAAACCTCAGACCTGAAATAAAATACAAATGACAAAAATCTTGTTTTCGGCCATTTATGTCATATATAATGCAAAAAAAAAAAAAAAAAAAAAAAAAATCAGTATTTTCACATAAACATTATAAAACATGATACAGTGATTTGGTAGCATATGTTTAGCATGTTCTGAGATTCTGAGAATGGCGGTGTTCAGAAAAGCATACTACTTTTACAGTTTCTGTAGTATCTTATAAAGTAGGCCTATGTATACAGAGCACAGTATTCTGAAATGATCTACATCTGCCAAATGAGCAGTATACACTGAATAATGTATGCAATGTGCTTAATTTGACCTGTTCATTTCCAGTGTCATGAATAGAATGCAATATTAGCTTCCAAATGTTAACACGTTTTTACACAAAACTAGATTGTAAATGCAAAATAGAGCTGTTTTAAATGTTGATTGTTACAAAATGCATTCTGTTTCACTATTTTAAACAGTACATGCTGCACAGTGTTCAGTGAATTAGTATTCCATTCCGAACACCGCCAATGTATGTAACATTTATTTAGACGCTGTACTAAAATACTGTATGGATTTAAAGGGACACAGTTCTGTTCATTTAGAGAGCATGATTGAAGGGACATCAATGTGGTTTGTTAAAATGAAATATCGCCCCCTTGAGGACATGTACCTCTACTTTTAGGTAAAAATTGGCTCATGATTTCATAGGCGGCATGTTCTAAATTTTTACAGTTGCAAATACTATATACGTGTCATGCTACAATAATAATAAAAAAAAGCTCTTTATGGATTGTTCTGGAAATCGGAGGGGATAACATTCATAAGTCTACAGAGACACATAATGCCAGAATGAAGTACTTAAAATATTCCAGTCATTCTGACCTTAATGTGCCGCAAAGAGCTGGTAAGCATGACCGCATCGAGAATAAAATACGGAAACTAATTGTGGTGCAAAGGGTAACTGCGTAATCTTTAATAAATAACGACACAGTCTACAAAAAAAAAAAAAATGTAAAAAATAAAATCATTTTTGAACAAACCTTATTAACAAACAGGAAAAAGCCCGGGAAGCAAATAGGTTGCGTTTCAGGGACTTGCTAAATCCAAGGGACGATAGAGGTCTGTCTCCAGCAATAACACAGTCGCCATGACAACACTGCACACTACCGTCTCTAGGAGTCGCTCCGTGGACATTCCGTGCGTCCGTCTGCACAATTATCCCTCCGAGCCCGAGAGTATAATAGCATTACAATACAATGAGGACAATGCTGTGTGCATCATCCTGTTTCTGATTAAAAACATTCAGGCTCCGTACCGTTCGTGAGACGTCAGGCTGTTTTACCGTTCCAAGGCAGAGTTTCTGAACTGTGTTCCTCCGATGAACCGTCACCCGGTCCCTCCAAAGGGGACTGGGAACTCTGGTCCAGAGAGTCCTGGGACGAGTGAGTCGAGTCCGTGTTGTTAATTTCATTCAGGGACTTTGACTCCGAGTCGAGACTCCCTCTGGCTGGGCTGCTGCGGGACAGTGTGACTTGTGTGTTCCTCATGGACTCCTCTTCCAGGTCTGACATTCTCTCATGTTGCTTATTGGCCAACTCTGGGAAGAGACAGGAAGTGAGATCAGATCTGAGATACCTTATTATCTCCGTGCGCTGAGATGAAGAGCTTTGTTATCAGTTAAAGAATAACTAAACACTAAACCAAATTTTTTTAGTTAATAATCTGTAAGAATGGATCTTTATTAATACCAGTCATTGATTCGAGTAACTTTTTTGTCATTTGTTTTTAAAGTGTTCTATTTCTACAATATATGGTGTAAAAACGTCTTAGTGCTGCCCTCTTCAGGTTGAACGGTGGTAACTGCAGTTGGATGTTCCGCACTTCGTGACGTACAGAGGTTTCAGCTCACCACGCGAGCTACGCCCTTGGCAGTATAAAAACCATCTTGTGTCGTCAAAACCACTGTAGGGAGTCAGGAATTGGAATTTTGAGTATTGAAAACAACCAGGATAGAGTGTTTTAGCATCTATTTCGTCCGCTCTATCTCCGCTGGGAGATTTTCAAATATTGCCAGTGGGTGGAGTCAGGCTCTGACCAGGGGTTTAGTTACCCTTTAAAGACATTCAATTGAGTATATCTTCCATTATTTATGTTATGTTATTTCTAACCAGTGTTGTGCAAGTTACTTCCAAACTGTAATACATTAGGTATTACTTGTTACTGTTATTTAAAAGTAATTCATTACCTTACAATATTACTGTCTCAGAATTGTAATGTGTTACATTACTCATGTATTACTTTTGAGTTACTTTCACCAAAATAACTAAGTAGTACTTAACTTTGGGGCTGTAACGATATGCAATATGAAACCGAAATCGCGATTCGCCACACGACTCAGATCCACGAACCTGAATCGCGACACACCTCTTCCAACTCCAGCGTTATTCTCTTTACCGTCCAGATCCAATGCTGCCTTATCTTTAAATTAGGCTATTAGTATTATTTGAAGTTAACATTATAAAATACGTAGACCCACACCACAAAACTAGTTGAGGATAAATTATTTAAAATTGGGTCCAGCATTATGGACATGACATTTGCAGTCAAAACTTAAAATTAAAATTCTCAGAAAATACATGTATTGAAACGTACAGTATATAGGCTACTTCCTTAAAGGACTCCAGACATTGGACAAATATCAGTCTGTTTTATTTTTAATATTAGGGAAAAGACACACATTCATGGGTGACAAAAAAATAGGAGGCAAAATATATTTTTTGTAATTCTGTTAATTACACTGCGCAAATCGGATGAGGAAGGGTTGGCTCTCCAGTCTCCATAGAACTTAAAATATTCATTATATTTTAGTTTTCGTGTTCGCATTTATGAGGAAAAAACAATGTTACAGACGCGACCGCTCTGAACTGGCACTAAAAGACTGCTTTAAAACTTTCACATATCTGTTGCCTTTAAGAAGTAAAAGCAGACAATACACTGTAATACAACTGTAATACAAGCCTCACTGAACATGTAACGAGTAAAATATTACTGAAAATTGATTAGTAATGCCTTACACTACTGCGTTACAGCAAAAAGTAATATGTTACTGTAATGTATTACTTTTGTAATGCGTTACTCCCAACACTGTTTCTAACATAAAGTCAAACGTGACACTCAACAAATCAAGGGCTTCATTAGTTACACCAGGTGTGCTTGAGCTAGAACACATGAAATATCTAAACTACATAGCTAGATTTGTTGAGTTCAGACAACACCTGTTTTGTTTTTTCAGATTTGTGCTGTTGTGAGGGATTTTATTCAGGGGGTTGAATAATTCCGAAACTACAAAATTCATTAAAAGTAGCATTTTCTGTCGAATTTGGTGAAACCACTTAAAGCATTTGTTGTTTTGAGCTATTTCAGTGACTTTTGTTTGATTTGCCAGGTAAACCCTACATTATGGGGACAGAATGTACCCACAAAGATGAAATTTTTGACAAAAAAAAAGGTTCCCTTAATCTCAGTGGAAGATTTTGTGACTTTTCATACATTATCTATCTATAAACACACACACAAAAAAAACTGGGCTTGATTCGGTTGTTCTGAAGGTATGTAAAAAAATGTTTACACTTCTGGTCTTCGGGGTTCCACATTGAAATGAATGGGAAATGCGAAAAAAACTAAATATATTTCCTTCATGTGTCAAAAAAAAAAAAATCAATAAAATCCGGCAAAAATCTGAAAATTTTTACACAGAAATGAAGGCCTAGCACTAGAGCATAAATGCAATGTATCATAAAAAATAATATTTCATATGCAAGCTAATGGTGTAGTTGAGGAATTGTGTGGTATATGGATACAAAAGTACTTTATATCTCCAAAAACACAGCATTAATGAATAGTAAAAAAAGAATATTATTTATATGATTAAAAATGTATATTTTTTGTACAATTACTCAATCAATTGTTGGGGTCGTATAGACCCCGAAGCCCAGAAGTGTAAACAGGAAACAAAGACCATTTGAAGGCTAAATGAAGTTTTTTGAAAATGTGAAAATGCAGAAAGGTTTCTATGATGGATTGTGTTTAGGGGTAGGGTTAATGTAAGGGGATAGAATATACAGTTTGTACAGTATAAAATCAGTGTCTATGGAAAGTCCACATGAAATATATAAACACAACATTTGGTGTGTGTGTGTGACATTAAAAAAAAAATCTTCTTTTGTGTTCAGCAGAAGAAAGAAATTCATACAGGTTTGGAACAAGTTGAGGGTGAGTAAATAATGACAGAATTGTATTTTTTGGGTGAACTATCCCTTTGAGACACTTTTTTACATTTACATTTACATTTAGTCATTTAGCAGACGCTTTTATCCAAAGCGACTTACATCTGAGGACTAAGTCATCGTGAAGAGGCGATAAAAACACAAGAAGTGGTCGAAATACAAAGTTCAAGTATAAACCATACAAGTAAGGATTTTTTTTAATATATATATATATATATTAAGTGCTCATGGAAGAGATGAGTTTTTAATTGTCTTTTGAATGCTGTCAGGGACCTTTAACATCCTTTAATATAACCTTTTTGGCATAAAGCACGTTTTTCAAAATTGGGTCAAGAACCCTTGAAGTCTCTATAGAACCCCATTGAACCTTTTATTCTAATAGTGAATGTTGACTGTATAGAAACACAAACAGATGAGTGCACACCTTGAACAGACAGCTCTTTCCAGCGCTCCTTGTTGTTCTGGATGATCTCAGAGAGCAGGTGTCGGACATGTTTCAGGTCGATGCCGCACAGAGAGTAGTCCGTAGTGGCTCCCTGCTCCTCGTTGGAACCCCGACCGCTGTGTCTCTGTACCGCCTCCACCACCGCGGCTGAGCCCCGACCCGTCAAACTGCACCACACAAGCAGATTACAGACAGATTATCATCCCTGAATCAAACACCTTTACCCTGATGAACATGTGACCATCACCTCACCTTGACCTGCGGACACCCCCAGATTTTACAGCTTCCTCTATGAGAGGACTAATAATCTTCTCTGTGGTGTCGACCAGAACAGAGAACGTGGGTTCGACGATAAAATCGATGAACCCTTTGAAGGAAAAACAATGTCGTTTGTTTAGAAGGCTTTGCCATTCATTTAACCAGCTAGAAACTCATTAGAAATAATGGGTTTGGATTCAATCAAGACACCTGTAGTTATTGTGTCATTAAATCAAACCACATTTATTTTATGATCTCCATTAAATATTACATGTTATTGTCTCAGCAGCCTCTTGATGGCAGTAAAGAGCTGACTGGAATGAAGGCACGTCTGTATGGTTATGTTCATAACAGCATAGTTGCAGCATAGTTCATAAAAGCATTTCTACAGTATTAAAGTAGTGTTCATTAATGGCATCCAGTAACCATCTTGCAAAAAAAGATACTTAACATTTGTTTATCCATTTATTTTTATTGCTAACATAACAAGTCTCAATAAATATATTTAAATGGTAACACTTTCCAATAAGGTTAATTTATTAAATATTAGTTAATGTATTAACTAACATGAACTAACCGTGAGCAATAGATTTGTTACTGTTTTTGTGATGTTAGTTCACAGTGCATTAACTAATGTTAACAAGATTTTAATAAATGTCGAAATTAACATTAACAAAGATTAACAAATGCTTTAGAAGGTTTGTTCATTATTAGTTAATGTTAACTAATGTAGTTAACTAATGAACCTTATTGTAAAGTGTTACCATTTAAATATATATAAATATATAAATCATAAATATATAAATAAAAATATATAAAATTTTATATATAAATATATTATATATATGTATATGTATATATAATTATATATATCTTAAATCATGATTCCTTATATATAATTATATATAATTATATTATATATACTATATATCTTATATATAATATATAAAATATATAAAATAAAAATATATAAAATCTCTCTATTGTGCATATATATAGAAATATATTTATATAAATATATTTCTATATATATATATGCACAATAGAGAGATGAAAAGAATATATTATTAAATTCACAAAGAATAACTATTACTGTTTAAATTGATTTAGTTGTGGATTTAAAGAATGCAAGATTAAAGATCAGAAAAAAAATTATTCTATAAAATTCAGATTTTGCTTCTAGTTCATCAACCTTGAAAATAGAAGGTCAAGTTCAGTGCATTGCATTGTGGGATACAGTATTCCATGCAGTGTGCTTCTTTTGGCAAATGTATCAGATTGTCTGTGTATTCCATACACAAAATTGACCAAGCAAGCATACATATTACAGTATGTATATAGTGCTGTTTCACACTCAGAGATCACATGTCAATGTGTGTGTAAGCTTTACCTATCTGAGACTGGGCAATCATGGTGGCTTTCCGGTCACATAGTGGAGAGAACGGCAGCCCTAGTTCTGCCTCCTTGTCACCCTGCAGAGACAATAATAAAGAATCAGAAAGAATTACTCATACTGGTTCAAAGCCTTGTGAACAGTCTAATAAAAGACTGTTTTAAAGCCAGACAGACAGAGACATCATGTTCTCATGATTTCTAAGCCAACAGGATTTTCCCTCAAAATTTGCTGGAAAGTTTTCACAAAGTAGGTGTATGTTTATAAGCTCTTCGAAGGATTCGAACTTTGTCCAACAGTTCACCCAGATAATGTGTGTGTCTATAGTAAGTATGTATCTCTGGGAGTTCTGCTTGTGTTATTGGATATATGATGTGTGTGTGTACCTGTCTGAAGAACTCCTCCATGAGGGCTTGTGTCCAGCGGTAGTGCAGCTTCCAGCCCTTAGCAGGGTGACTGATATCAGCCGCGTGCAGCATCAGGGACAGCACTTTAGCCTTGTCTATTCTGATAGACACACATTCATCACAGCTTCATCAGTCAGATACAAAGACAGAGAGTTTGGAAACAAATTATGAATCCGTAAATTACACACACATTCGCATATATTCGCAATCAAAGGAGTCAGGACATGGGAGGATTGTGTCTTAAAGCCCAGATATACTTCAAGCAAAATCAAAGAACAAACAGGTGTAACAAAATTTCGAACAAAATAAGAGCAAAACGAAGACATGGAAATCTTCGTCAGTTCATTTGACGTCTACGAGTGAGACCATGAACACACTGGAGAGTCGTTTCGAGTAAATGTTGCAATTGTAATTGAAAGAGGTTTTTTTTATGTTTAATACTGTAAAGCTGCTTGATTTTAAGCTATCTATTGTATAAAGTGGTTTATAAATGAACGTGACGCGACTTTACCACAGTACTGAATTCATACTTTGCAGTCACGTGACTACCATGGATACCTGGCGGGCAACAAACGTTGAAAAAATGGCGACAAACAGTGGCCAGCTAGGGCAATTGCAAATTTCCAATACTACTATCAATTAACTATTTTGATCATATTTCACGGAATGTTAAAATTAGATATCAAAAACGATTAACATGCGTATAATCCTGTTAGCAATCTGTTAGGCTGTAATGTAGTAAAGTAATAAGTGTACAATATTACAGTAGTTGGACAACCAGAATGCCACTTACCACCGCGGCAAAAATAAACCAGCCATATTTTAAAGTTGTTCGCGAAATGACCACCAGGTGGCGCAAAGGGACATTTAGCGAAAGCAAAACGTAATTATGTAAAAGTACAACATGCAAATCACACAACAAATATCTGGCATGTCGCTTACACCTCAAAACACCAACTTTTGTATATTAAAACTGGCGACGTACGCCCTGATAAGATCCTTGATTAGTTTACTGGGTTTCGTAGCTAGAGAACGAAGTTCTTGCCCGCCAGCCAGTACTTGTGACATCACGTGCAAAGCTGCGGAGCTTATGCAAACATCCACGTCTCTATGATCAGATACTTTCGTAAGTACTGTTCTCTCACTGCTGTCATTATTGTTGCGTGTTTATTTTGTTATTGAAAGGAAAGCGCGCTGCACATATTTACAAATTCATCATATCAGCAGCGTCGGGATGTTCGTAAACAGTATACCACTGCTCATGTAGTATTTCCAACTTCTTTTTACCCCAAAGCGAAAAATGAAAAAAAAAAAAAAAAAAACTTTACAGTGAGTATATTGTGGCCTTTAATGATGTCTCTCTGTTTCTCTACAATTTGCAATAAAGTAGAAGTCAGTTTGAAAAAAAAGAATATGTCAAAGGAATCATTTTTAATAAAGTACTAATAAAAATGTATTTCATACCAAATACCATATGCAAATGTAATACAATTTTAGATATTGTGAAATGGTCAAAACATGTGGCACTGAAGACTGCAGTCATGATGATGCTGAAAATTCAGCTTTGTCAGTACAGGAATAAATAACATTTTAAAATATATATTACAATAGAAAATAAATATTTTAAATTAAAATATTATTTCACAATATTACTGATCATATTTGATCATAAATGCAGCTTCGTTTAGAATTAGAGACTTTATTGGACTACGGTTTACGGTCTATTGGCTATATTAAGTAAATTTGTCTTTGGCACTTACAAAAAAAAAAGTCCACAATTGAAACAGTCAGACAGATATAAACTAGGCAGACATAAAATGAGTTTAAAAATAAACTTTAAATGTGATATTTAAGGCGTCAAGAGTCTTAAAATAACTCTAGTTGAAATGTCCTCATAGATCTGAAATGCTTTTTGTCCCATGACTTAGGAAAACAGCTCCTGGAGTTCTAGTTAGTTTATTTCCAATAATTTGATGAGCCTGTGTTTAATGAGCTCAAGACAAAAAATCTCAATGATCTGTTTGGAACTTGACGGACACAAAACAAAAGTTAATGAATAAGCTATAGAAAACTTTAGCAGTTGACACATTTATTTAATCACAGAATACTGTACGTCATAGCGCCCCGGTTCTAATGGGTGCTCCGCAAGAAGTATGACACTCGTTCATTAACACCCTCGTGTTCACAAGCGCTCAGAGAGAACAGCACGGGCGTCACTCACCCCTCCGGCTGCTGCAGTGTGTTCCTCATGGTCTTGATCTGCTGGAAATGGCAGGACATATCTGTGCTCATGACCATCTCGATCACCAGTGTCCGCAGCTCCCTGTGGGAAGCACAAACACAGCGGCTCATCAGAACTCGAAGCACATCCTCCATCCGCAGAACGGGACGTCCGAGGACAGTGTTTCCCATTGAGTGTCGAACCCCAGCGTACCTCCAGTCATCTTTTGAGAGGTTGACCAGGATGTTCATCTCATCCTCTTGCATGAGCCTGTAGGCTGCGCTTACATGATGGTTTTCCAGAACCGAGCGATCGTTGTACAGGATGGCCACTTCTGATCTGTGCAGCAAACAAAGGAAGAGGCCAATTAAAAAATGTGTCCTACACTCTTAGAAGAAATGGTTCTATTTAGAACCAGAAATGGTTCCATCCCCGCTTCATATATGGAACTCCAAAATGGTTCTATATAGAACCATTTTTTTTTTGGTAAAAGGTTCTATTGGCCAAGTACGGAACCCCAGGGTTCTATATAGAACCCAGAGGAACCCTTTTTTAAGAGTGTATAGATCCTTTTAGGGGTTTCAAATACGTAGCGCTGATAGAACCTTTTCTTCTAAGTGTGTATAGTATATGTTCCAATTACTTTGACACCTTTATGCCATTGCAGTAACTTTTTAAAAGGTTAGTACACCAAAAATGCCTTCATGATTTATTCACCTTCATGTCATTCCAAGTCTGTACAACTTTCTTTCTTCCTTTCGTGGAACACAAAAGATGTTCTACAATATTTGAAAGCTTATTGTCACCAGGGGCTGTCAAGCTTCAAAAGACAAAAAAAAAAAAAAAAAAAAAATCCACCATAAAAATAGCTTGAAAATAGATATGACTCATGCAGTACCTTTCAAGTCCTTTGAAGTTTTGTGTGGTGATAAGAACGACATTTAAATGTTATTTTTCACTGAAAAAAATTGCTTCGTTTTTCAAAACAGTCATGTGACACACTAGAACCAATTGCATTTGGCATTATTGGCATGGCAGGTCTAAAGGGGCAACTTTTCAATTTAGCACAAGATCTTGGTTGCACTTGTACATATTCAATTAAGTTTTTATTCATAATTTTGATAATGAGACTAATGGTGAAATGGCACGATTTGCACATGAGCTTGCAATTTCAGTGTTGGTCGGTTTGGGTCACTATGTACTTTCATTTTTTTGAGCTCGGACATTTTCAGATTTCCTCCTTTTGTGTCCCATGTAAAAAAGAAAGAGGAGGAAAAATGGATTTATATAAAAGATGAAAAAAAAACTTTTTTTTAAAGTAAACCTATGTGCTGATGCTTTAAACAAGAAAAAGAAAATGTATGCTTGAAGAACCTGTATTGTAACAAAACAGTTATAAAAAATGTTATACAAATTTTGTTACAAAACTGTAAAAAATATTTTTTTAGTGTTTTTGAAAAAGAAATCTCTTATGCTCACCAAATAGGCATTTATTTGATCAAAAATACTGTAAAACATATAGTATAGAGGGGGAGCAAAGTGTAATTTATTTCTGTGATGCAAGGCTGAATTTTCAGCATCATTACTCCAGTCTTCAGTGTCACATGATCCTTTAGAAACCATTCTAATATGCTGATTTTGTGATTAAGAAACATTTATTATTATCATCAATGTTTCAAACCGAGTTGTGCTTCTTCAGTATCACAGTGTTTGTGGAAGCTGTGATCAATTTTCGGTAACGCTTCCTTTTACAGTACAGTACTTACAGAGTACTTACCTGAAAGTACTGGCTAATATAAGGTAAGTACATAGAACAGGGGTAGGTTCAAGGTTAGTACTAGTTGTTACCCAGTAATTGTAGTTACTAAAATAAGTACATAGTATTTACATGGGTACACTCTAAAAAATGCTGGGTTGTTTTAACCCAATTTTGGGTCAAATATGGACAAACCCGAAATGTTGGGTTAAAACAACCCAGCATTTTTTAGAGTGTAACTGGACTCGTTACCCAATTTTCTTTCAGGACTGTTTGATGAATAGAAAGCTTAAAAGAGCAGCATTTAGTTGAAATCTAAATCTTTTGCAGCATCATAAATGTCTTTACCGATACTGACTTTAAAAACAAAAAGGTTTTGTAAGTGAAAGCAAGCGTTTTTGTGATGGAGCTCATTGACTTGATATTTTCTCATATTTTTCCACCTTATGGTCTCCGTACCCCAAGAACCCTATATAGTAAAAAAAAAAAAAAAAAAAAGTTTCTCAATAAAAATAGGGGTTATTTTCCTGAACCCAAAGTCCTGAAGAACTCTACTATATCTTACTGTAAGTTCCTGCCAGTCTGCATCCAACTTTTCGCCTTTCCACACAAATATATTTCGGAGAAAATCCCTTTTATTCAGTGACTGACAGACAGTACTCAGGAGATTTACTTTTCATTCACTTGAGGAGTAAATCAGAAGTGAACTACAAGACAAGGTGGAACATCAGCTGTAATCAGAGACATTAAGAGTAATGGCTCTATTTTCCCCTTAACACAAGCCTTGTCTCCCACAATTCACTGATGATGGAGCGCTCCTCCAAAATCTCTGTATACTGCAGATCTGTCCTTGCCATCGGTGCTATGATATACTTCTTTGAAGAATGATGTCTGCTATGGGCTGTCATACAAAATGACGCCTGCTGTAAAAAGATCTCAAGGATCCTTGGGCATGTATCGTGGATAAGATGTGCGGCCTGACGTGAACCAACACAGAGCAACAATAACATGAACGTAGATTCTGACGCAGATTCTGCCACTGAAGATTAATTGAAAACGTGATAAATTCCACTCTCAGCCCCACGATATAGCCCACCACAAGGAAGATAGACTGTGTCACACCAGTGGATTCTCTCTCTCTATTATAAATAAACACACACTCTCACACACACCTACGCAGGCAGCATTCTAATGCATCACAGATGCATTCAATTCGTTCCAAATGGTAGGTAGGACCATTATGTTTCTGAGATTCTGAGATAGTATCGCTCAGTCTTCACAGAGAAGGCAATTCCATAATGCATTGTGATAAGCTTGCATTGGTACAAATATCCATCACCCAATTGGTGGGTAAAGCTCAATAAATGCTATTTATAAATATTAATGATACATACAATTATTATAAATAAATGTGAAATGAGAGTATTTTTATAAATATAAATATATAAATCAATGTATATTAAATATTAATTATATAAGTATTGATTAATAATGGGAAAATGTTTACATAGATTAAAAAAAAAACCTAAATAAAAATTACTTTATAATAAAATATAAAATCAACAATAATTCTTTATGTACTGAGAAATAAACCGTTTAGGTACTAAATATAACTATCAACATTTGAATTGAATCTGCTCTAAGTCAGGGTTATTGTTGTAAACTAAAAACATTAATAACATTTCTATTAAGTGTTAACTGAAATTAAGCTAAAATACAATAAAATATACATATTTATTAAAAAAAAACTAAACGAAAATTGGAAAACTGTAAATAAAAACTGTAAAAATGAACTAAAACTGAACTTAAAAATAAAACAACATGTTCTGATTCAAAATATGAATACAATTATAATAAAACTAACATAGCGCTGCTCTAGATCATAAGGCTTGATGTGATGGTGTGTTTCAAAGCTAGTTTTCATAAACACTTACCTTCATACGAAAACACAGAGCATCATTACGGCAGCTTATTTCAATTTTACACAATTTATTGAGATTATTGGTTGCTTTTTATTGGAGGTCATCACACACCTGGTCTGGATGTGGAAGTTATTGGTCGTTCCAGTGTGTTCAAAGTCGTGGATAGCAGCAGCAAACACCATGGCCAATATTTCCAGTTCAGTGAGCCAATGCTGTGGGAGAGCAGACCAGTCAGCCATTACCCAAATCATCATCATTACCATCATTCAACATCATTTAAACGCATTTCAACAGCTGCGCCTATTAACCTGCAAGTTAAGACCTCAAGCGTTCAGCTCGTGTTGACTACAAACAGATGTCCTATTTGTTTTGTCAGTGCGAGACATGCACACAGAACCCACTGAGTGAGCGCCCTCACCATAATGCCGGTGTGGAGCATCAGATAGTGTGCCGTCTGCGTGACATCAGCAGCGTGGATCAGATTGTGGTAGGGGTTTCTGTGCTTGCTGTAGCCCATTTCCAGAGCTTCCACGAATGACACCAAGGAGGACACTGGTATCTACAGAGAAGAAGAGTCCCAGTTACACAAGTAGAGCGCTTGTGCATTTCAACAGTATGTGTGTTCAACAGGTGGTGTCAGTAAAAGTGTTTTTGAAAGAAATTAAGGATGCACTTTATTTTTTTTTTACAATACGTGCACTTTTAATGTTCTTACAGTGTGCTTGAGAAAGTACTGGCTAATATGAGGTCACAACAGGGGTTAAGGTTAGGTAGATTCAGGGTTAGTAGTCATTACCCAGTTAGTGTCATTACTACAAGTACATAGAAATGTATGTAAATCCGAAACAGGACTGTAAAATAAATTGCTACCAAAAATAATATTATTTTAGAGAGAAAATATTAAATTGATAATAGATAGACATTTATAACATTGCAGAGGAAATTTTTAAATGTTGCTTTGCAACTGTTCTAGTTGAAGTAATATACTACAACTGAAAAATAAAATAAATGAAAGATAAAGATAAATATTTCATATTTAACTAATATGATTTACAAAAGCAATTTTTTTTTCAATACTTCAATAATTCCTAATTCAATATATGAATGAATAGTATAATAGTTTGGAATGAAGGTTTTTAAAAAACATTTTTAAAAAGTATTTTATGGGCACCAAGGCAGCATTTATATGATTAAAAATACAATAAAATATTGGGCAACATTACAACTATTAAAAATATCTGTTTTTTATTTGAATATATTATAAAATGTAATTTACTCCTGTGATGGCAAAACTGATTTAAAATAAATAAATAAACAAACAAATAAATAAATAAATAAATAAATAAATAAATAAATAAATAAATAAATAAATAAATAAATAAATAAATAAAAATAAATAAATAAATAAATAATTGTGGAAACCCTGATACACTATCCAATTTAAAGGTATGGCTGAGTTGAGATCTTTAAAATTAATACTTCTATTCCACAAAATGTATTTTTAAAAACATTTTTTTTAAGTATTTTATGGGCACCAAGACAGCATTTATTTGATTAAAAATACAGTAAAAAAATATTGGGAAACATTACAACAATTAAAAAATATCTGTTTTTTATTTGAATATATTATAAAATGTAATTTACTCCTCTGATGGCAAAACTGATTTAAAAAAATAAAATAAATAAAAAATAAATAAATAAACAAAAATTAATAAATAAATAATTGTGGAAACCCTGATACACTGTACAATTTAAAGGTATGGCTGAGTTGAGATCTTTAAAATTAATACTTTTATTCCACAAAATATCCTATATTTATATTTAATAATTGAGCACTAATAATAATTGAGCACTAAGTCAGCATAACAGAATGATTTCTGACGGATCATGTGACACTGAAGACTGGAGTAATGATGCTGAAAATTCAGCTTTGCATCACAGGAATAAATAGCATTTTATAAAATATTAAAATAAAAAATAGTGTTTTAAAATATAATAATATTTCACAATATTAGTTTTTACTCCATTTTAGATCAAATAAATTCAAAGATAAATAAAAGATACTTCTTTAAAAAACATAAAAACCCATTGTGTTAAAGAAAAGAAAAGAAAAACTGGCTTTATTTTTAGATTCCGAACCCGAATAGAGACAGAGAAAGGGCCTTCAAGCTGCAGTCTGAGGCTTTAAATGTCCTGCACAGCAGATTAATGGAGCATGTTACAGGCATTCAGCAGAGAAATATGCATGTGTAATCGCACGGACAGTAGGGACTCCATGCCTAACCAACTAAACCCAAACACAGGCAATGCGTGTCTGTTGCATGCCAATTGTAATCATGGGGCTCTGTGTGTGTGTGTGCGTTAGTTGAGAGTCCATCATCACCGCACTTGTGAAAAGGTTAAGAAGCGACGAGAGCTGACACAATGGTGAAAATGTCAGATGCCTCATATATCACATATAATTCTCTTGTTACAGGGTAATAATATGCTTTAAAAACACCAACGTTGGTTACAAAAAAAAGTGTAATTCCAAAAGGATGAAATCCTAAGAAATAGTTAACATAACAACTCACGTTCATGTTGTTTCAAAACTGTATGACTTTCTTCCGTTAAACACAAAGAGAACATGATGTGCTTGTTACCTTTTTCTATGCAATTACAAAGCATTCAGGTTTGAAAAATGAAGCAAAAGCACCCTAAATGTATCATAAAAGTAATCCAAAAAGTCATTTGATACCATACAACAGCTTTGTGTCGTGAATGATTTGTGAACGAATCATTATGGAGTTTGATATTTTCAATTGATCATTTGATCTGCTATTGATTTATTGATTATTGGCTCTGTTTACACCTGGTATTAAGATTTGTTTTGGTAGATCGGATCACAAGTGGCTGACGCTAAACACAGGTACATATAAATCTTCTAAATCAGGTACATATAAATGTCAGGAAACCAGATTCCTGGCCACATGTCAATGACCATGGACCACTGGTTCTTTGGTGAGTTGTAATTAAAGAACACTGCCGAGTCCAACATCCTTTACTTTAAGCAGATAATCGTTTGTTTTACTCGCGTTTTCGCAGTTTCCCCTATTAAATCCAGGCCTCCTTTACACGATGTTGCCCTCTCAGTTACACGAAAACGCCGTTTTTATCACTGAAAACGATTATTTCTAAAAACTCCGGAGATTTCTGAAAACGCCGGTTATGTGTTTTGTCGTGTGAACTGGGAGAAACGGCGTTTTAGGTTCTCTCTTTCTGATTCTGATTGGCTTGCTTGGCTTTATCCTTAACCCCTACACTGCCGCCAATAGGTTTGGCATAGTTATGATGGCACTCGACGGCGTATTTATGCGGGTGTGTAAACCATACCATACCAACTTTATTTATAAAGCACATTTAAAAACAACCGAGGTTGACCAAAGTGCTGTACATTAACATAAGATAAAACAACAACAACAAGCAAGCAAGCAATTAAAACAATAAATAGACTAGAAAACTATACAAGGTACAACTCTCTAAACGATGTTATTTTTGAAAACGGAGAGGGGAAAAATATTCGTTTTGCTAAATACCCGGCTTTGTGTAAACGTGGCCCCAGTCATGCTACAAGATAGTCCTGCTGAGGTGGCGTGTCCCGACGGGGAAGTGACGTCAATGCATACCGACTCTAGTAGGAGGAATTCAGAAGTCTTTGAATATAGTGCACGTCAAGTCATATGGGTTACATTTATGATATTTGATATGGTTCTTTTTCCTTCATTTTGAAGCTTGAAAGCCTATGTCCTCATGGAGCGTGAAAAAGGGAACAAGTTCAAGTGTATTAAATGAATGAATGAAATTTAATTACAGATTAGTGGCAATATAAGAGTTTCCCTATGGGCGTATGAGTCAGAATCCAAAGTAAGCAATGTGTTTGATATCTCAGTTTAGGTGTGTGTCTGGTTTTCTGAGTCTCTCGTACCCTGAAGCGGCTGATCAGGTCATATCTGGTGAGCAGTTCATACACCAGGAACTTCAGAGCGTGTTCGCTGCTCGCCTCTTGGAGCGTGAAGACGTCAAATGACCATTTATCAACATCCTGAAAAGTAGGAAGATTTGCATGAATTGGTGGCAGATATAAAACTTTAAGGAAATAAACTAAATCCACGTTATAATCTACTGCAAAATAATGTGTACCTTTAGAACTGAAATGACAGATGGTGGATAGGTCAACCCTGCCATGTTGGATGTTCTTCTGTACATTCTGCAAACACACACACACAAACCATGATGTCTTTTTTTATCATTACATGCTGAAGTTTATTTTTAACAAGGTACATCTCAGTAAAAAAACAAAAAACAAATCTATATGTAAAAATTGCATTTGGGTAGTTGACATTGAACATTTTTGGGGAGTTCTGCAGTGCTACTGTATACTCCAAATTAAAAATAAAATGTTTAATGGATGACATGCATAAACTACTTATTTACATGGAAGCCATAAAGGAAAAATAGCCAGGGGTTGAAAGGGGGTAAAAAACGTAATGAATGATGCAATAAATATATTTTTTTTTAAAAAAGAAGAAACAATTTACTTAACTTTACACTATGACTTCAGTTGAGTGGACCTCAGATAAATGATTTGACCCCTTTGCGCTTATACCATAAGTTACAATGTAAGATCATTAAATTGTTCCTCACAATTAGAATGGTTTTAGTAAAGTCTGAGGTATAAAATGGGGCTTTATGGAAGTGTTTAAGAGATAAAAAGTTGCAGTAAAGTCAAAAAAGACATTTTCATGTACAGTAGATGACCGAATCTTCACAGAACTGTATTCCCTGCAGTATAAAGTGCCTTCAAGTGGGAATATTTTTTAACCAGAAAAAAAAGAAAGAAAGAAAAGCAGGTCATAACACTAAAACTTTCCTTTTTAAATGAGGGTGGAAAAGCACTTAATAATGAAAACGTCATGTTACTCAACAGTCCAGATTCCAAAATAATAGCTAGTACATAATGTCGATATTTACTATTCCAGGACAAATTTCTGAAAGTCTGGCTTATCTTCTTTTTTTCCACAAAATAACAGATGTTTTTCTCATTTGAATGTCTTTAATCATTAAGTGAGCCCCATACATCCGTTCGATATCACACACGCGGTGATCAGCGCCTCAAGCTCAACAGGTGTCTATGACATTCTGAAGGAGTTTCCATGGAAATGAGGGAGGCAGCGCGCGCACATTACTCAGACATGAGGGTACATGCCACAGAGAAGAGGACATTGAGATGTTCATTTTTAGTTACTGGAAAAGATTATGCAGAACAAGCCCTTCAGTGTGTTTCTTCTGTGTCTAACTATTCCCAGTTAGAAGAGAAAGATGCAAGGTCTGTGAAATGAGACCGTCTGTTTGATTTAAACTCACTAAAGAGGCTTAAAGGCTCTGTCTCAAAACCTAGTGTGCCGCATTGCTGTCTACAGCCTACACAAGCAGCTGCCTTCAAAGACAAAATCGTCCTTAATTATTTCCTTCACACTGTGAGAGATGCATTAATGGATCAAAAATGATCAAAAAAGGATCAAAAACAATGTTTTTGGTTTTGCTTCGTAGGAGATTCTGTGTTGCAGAAATGCTCTTGCACAGACCCTGAGTCTTTGACGCAAACGCAGTCCATGCACAGTGTCTTTACGGCCCCGATTTCACTCTAATCTAAATCCTGGAAAAGTACCTTTAAAAGTTATTAAACATACAATAGCGTGTACACATATATTATCCATGCAGAGTACAAATGTGAACATTTATTTGTGCATTCAATTGCAGCTGTCACAGTAATATGTATGTTTTTGTGTAATTTACTGTGAGCTTACAAACACATGTATAATATATTTGCAGATTTTGTTGTGAGTAATGGTAAATTGCAGCATCCATTTGTGGGAAGCCCTGATGCTTTCAACTCAATGAAATAAAACTATTTGAATCAGAAGCTGTTTGTAGCAATTTTTTTTTTTAAATTGTGGCGAGAACTAACCAGTGCTGAAACATGACCCTAGAATGTTTCTTAGCCTTTAACATGATATTCCAGAAATAAACTTTAAAATATTACACAAATATTGAAACTTTGAAACTAAGTATATTGACATTTGATTTTTCTCAATTCATCTGCCATCTTGGAAAAATGTGTTCACAAAGCTTGGTGCAATGCATTCTGGGATTGTCTTTTCCGTGAACAATACATGTAAAGCTGGCCTAAGTGTTGCCTACGTGGGTAGCTCACGGGGGTGAAAATGTCTAGGCAGAATGTTAAAGGGTTAGTCCATGCTAAAATGACAATTCTGTCATCATTTACTCACCCTCATGCCATTTTAAACCTGTATGTATTTCTTTCTAGTGCTGAACACAAAAAATTATTCTATATTTTGAAGAATGGTTGTCCTGAATGAATGTTCATTCCACAGAATGTTCTTCAGAATATTAATGAAAGTCCACAAAAAGTTATATTTTGAAGAATGGAATCCAAAAAATTCTTAGTTCCTCTTAAATTTCATACAATAGAAGTCTGTCAATTGTAACTGTTTGGTTACCAACCTTCTTCAACTGACATTTAAAGGACATCAGGGTGAATAAAAGATGTCAGAATTTTCTTTTTTGGGTGATCACTTTAATAAATATCATATCAGTATTTTGTGTAAAATGTTAGGCTACTGACAATGATTAACTGAGAATAAATCACAATGGATTTATTATTAAATGAATCATTATAAGCAAGTATTTCATTATCAAAATCAATAGATACCGTTCCACAAAAATCCCAGCCTGAACCGCATGAACGATGCTGCGGAACCGGGGCTTCTCCTCGGGCCGTCTGCGCACCACTCCCATCTTCCTGGTGAAGGTGGAGGCCAGCCAATCTCGCACCTCCATGGGCACAGAGTCTGCCTGGATATCACTGAGCTCATCCTCGGTGTCCAGAAGCCGCCTAGAAAAGAGCAAACATGTTCAGAGAGGATATTCAGGAGAGATAATTTTGTTTTCAAATATTAATACTGAATAAATATATAAAAGTAAAAAATATTAAATGTAAAAATCAGCATCGGCCATTGACAAACGTATAGGCTGGTTGACCTATATCTGCATGTGTCTGACCTATACTGATCAACAAGGAATCTGTGCTCTAGTGGCAGTGTCACAAGAACATCAGAACTACAGAGTGGGAAAACCCATAGGAGTCTGCAGCCTACATTCAAATGTGCGTCGGTGGGTGTTACAATCGCTGGGATATGCAATAACCGATGTGTAGAGAATAAAAATACTATGTTTAGGGCATATATTTTTGGCTCTGTCTGTGGGTTGTAATAGGTTTTTATAGTTTCACAAAACCTGTCAAGAATATGTCCCAGTCATATTTCACACCAATCAAAAGAGATTAAAAAAATGTGTTCATAGAAAATAAAGCCCATTTTTAGTTCCAAACAATTTGTGTGTGTTTACATGCATGATCTTACTGATTCTAATTCAAACTTTTTTTTCTTTTTTTGTACTGGCAGCTCTTTAGTTTTAAAGTTTTAACTATTACTTTTAAACTATTACAAACTATTACATTTTCAATTATGATACAACAAAATATGATCATCTTGCATAAGGCAGAATCGACATGTTAAATCCACATAGGATTCAGTTTGTCCCATATTTTAGCATTTTACTCTTAAATCAAACGAGAATGCATCAGTATAAATTGCATTTGAATTTTAAAATAAATGAATGAAAGCAGATTCATATCGTATTCATATTTGCTGAGTATAAGAGTGCATATGTTTAAAATAAAATGAAAATCATTCAGAAATCATTCTGAAATGCTGATTTGCTGCTCAAGAAACATTTATTAATGTCGAAAATATTTGTATTATTCTTATCCTCCTTACTTTTGACATAAAACCTGGAATAAAATACAATATACAGTATATTGTGAACTGTACATGTTTTCGTGACCTGCTTGATGTTCTGCACTGAAGGTGATATTTATGTGCAGATAGAAAGCAAGAAAACATCTCCACAGACACTTGCTCATTTTCTCATAGTGCCGTGACTGATCCTGCCCTTGCCCTGTTAGAGAAAAAGCCAGCATTCAATGCTGAAGTAGCATAAGCAACTGGCACAAGATTAAATAAACAAGCTTTTCCTGAGAAATGAATGCGGCAGAAAGAATAGCGACTGTTGTCTTACGCAGACAGCCCGACCGGCGCAGGAAATGCGACATGTTATCATAACAAATATTCTCTGACTTCCAGTAACAAGCTAAAATTGCTCAAAGCTGCTACCATGGCAATACATCCTGTGCCTGTCATTAGGAAAACGTAATTAGCCATAGCCGAGTCTGTCTAAACACAAGTCCATCAAACGAGAGGCTGGCAGGGCTCTAGTGGGACGACGCTAGCGCTCTGTACACGTCAGTGTGAAGCACAACAGAGCGACAGAGCTTTAGGTCTCGGTTAATTAGGATCAAGGGCCTCATGGGACTCACAGCTACACTGACTTCCACGGGGAGCTAGATGAGGAACATGAGCACACTTCAGACGAGCGTCAAACACCTCCTTCTAACTGCTGGAGATAGACATGAGAATGCTTGAACAATAATACCATTTATACATGTTGCCCCTTTTCCATGAGCCCATGAAAGTAAAACAAAAAGGTAAAACTGAGACTGAGAGAGAACCAAGTAGCTCTGAAGAAATCTAGCTGCATCCTTGCATGAGAAGAAAGAAATGTTAAAATCGGAGATTTCAATCATGATCATCCAACAGTCAGGATTGACCCAATAAATCCATATATACCGTAGGATGCCGTTTGTCTCATTTTTGTAAAATATGTTAAAAGCAGATTCCATGTATAGTTGAAATGTTTCAGGTCATTTGAAATATGTCTGTTCTGCTCACCAAGGCAGCATTTATTTGATCAGAATACAGTAAAAACAGTAATATTGTGAAATATTATTACAATTTAAAATAGCTGTTTTATGCTTTATTATTATAATAATTTTCAGCATCATTACTCAAGTCTTATCAGAAATCTCATGATCCTTCAGAAATCATTCTAATATGCCGATTTGGTGCTGAATAAAGCATTCATTTCTTTTAAAAATCATACCTTTAAACCCCAAACTTTTGAAAAGTGCTGTACCTTTTTGAGACATGATTTAATATTGTCTAAATAGTGCAAAATAAAGTTTTTATCTGTTGGCGTTTTATACTTTTATCAGAACTTAAATCTAAAAATATAAAGACAATCAGACATCTTTCATTCTATTTATTGTGTTTCATTGGTGCACGGTTGCACAGGATTTTATGCTATGTTCATTAAAATGTGTAAAAACACAAAGCTGAACTGTAAAATATTTTCTCATGGTCTCACAAGTCATACTCAAACTTTAGATTAGGGTCCAATTCTCACAAGTTAGTATTAACTAAGAATTTTGCCTCAAATTCCTAATTACTGCTTATTAATAGTCGAGCCAAGTCACCTTCATTTATATAGTGCTTTTAACGATATGGACTGTTTCAAAGCAGTGATAATAGGAAATTAAAGTAACAGAGATTGTTTTGGCTTTACAGCAGCCCTAGAATAAAGTTAATGTCCAGCTAAAGTTAGCTTTGATTATTCACTTCCAATGCAAAGATCATTAGTTATTAACTTAGGTGCCGTTTACACAACACAGTTCGAAGAGAAAACCCATAACCCGCTCATCCGCACAATAACAGTGCCTGGTCACTCGAGTACGCAATCCTTGAAAAATTTTGGGGGAAAAGTTGACAAACGCAAACCTGTGCAAATGCTGACACCTTTAGTAAGTTAGAATAGTTAGTATAGTAAGGTGGTTGTTAAGTTTAGGTATTGTAGGATTAAGAGATTTAGAATATGGTCAAGCAGAATAAGACATTAAAGTGTACTTTATACTGTAAGAACTACTAAACAGCCAATATCCTAGTAATATGCATGCTTATAACCCTAAACTAGCAGTCGACCGATATGGGTTTTTTGATGGGCCGATGCCGATGTCTGAGAGAGCAGGGTGGCCGATGGCCGATATAAAGCCGATATAAATATATATATATATATATATGTGTATGTGTGTGATCACTGATCAGTCGCTGCGTTCTCTTCTCAGGTGCTACGCCGCCCGTAAAAATAAAAGTCTGCAGCGCCGTCAAAATAAAAGTCCCGCTTCCAACACATCGGCCAATCAGAAAAACGTATCGGCCGATGCAGACATTTTAAAAATGCCAAATATCGGTCGACCACTACACTAAACTAAAGTGTTACAAACTCACAAATCTCTAGTGTTATAAATCGCCTTGGTAGAAGCTAAACTGATATGTGCGTAATGGCAACACTTTACAATGACATTAAATAAATTAAAAGATTTAATGAGCTCATATGCCAAAATTAAAGTGACTGCAGAAACTTCAAGCAGTGATTATCTTAATTATAACCCACACACACATAGCTACAGGCATACTGTACTGCAGCTGTCGAGCATTTCGATTGTTTTTACAAAGTGGCCCGCTGTCACATGCCACCACCAGTGGTTAAAACCAATCTCAGATAGCATATAGTCTAAAGAACTAAAGAGCGTCACTTATTTCAAGCCCATACTGGGACTGTGAAAGGCAAATATTCACTTACCTAGTTTCATCGATGTACACGGCCTCTAGAACTGATGCGGCATATTCAATGTTTTTCCTCAGATCTACGACATTCACCTCCCCCTTATCCAGCTGCTTCACCAGACATCTCAATCTGCAGGAAAACAATCAGTCAGTTCATTCAATTCATGAAAATTCACCATCTGATCTGAAAGCACTGATGTTTTGCTTTGACATTACACTATTTGTTAAAGGAATAGTTCATTTTTTTTAACATCATTTATTCAACCTCATAGACCTGTATAACTTTCTCCTGAGTTTGGCTCCAAACTCCACATCATCGTCTATTTTTATTGTAGAGAAAAAAACAAAAACAAAAAAACAGCACTGACAGAAATTCATATGAGTTTGTAATGACATGGGTGGTAAATGATGATTCAAATTTTCATTCTTGTGTGAATTATTGCTTGAAAGAATACAATAAACACACACACACACACACACACACACACACAAAGATAATTAAAACATATCCATGACAGTATCTGTTTTATGAAAGAAACAAAATGGATAATTGAGACAGACACTGCCAATTCCACACCCACAAGAAAACAAACAGCATTAAACAAATATAATAAACGATTACAATTCATCAGCATCTTAATCATCAAATCTCATGTGCCAAAACGCTACGCTCGGTTAATCTTTCATGGCACTCACAATAAGATTTTTTTTTGTATTTTGAATAAGCACAGCAAATATCTTGGCAGAGTTGATGTGAGCTAACTCTGTAAATATTTAGGTCAAAAACAAAGTTAACATTTTAGAGTAATGAATTCCATGTAATCCAATCACACACTGCCTCCCATTCCTTGTTTTCTGAACAATATCCCTCTTATCGCTCCTTGAAAATGATAGCCTGTGAATGATTTACACACTGCAACAAGATGAAAGCACAGAAAATACATAAATATAAATACACCATAATAAAAAAGACCCACCAAATATTTTAATGTAATATAATATTAATACAATCAAATCATACAGGTAAATAATGACAGAAATACCCCTTTAAAATCTTATTTTACACAATATTCACACACACTTTTCATGTTTTACGGGGACATTCCATAGACATAATGGTTTTTATACTGTACAAACTGTATAATCATCCCCTAACCCCTTAACCAACCCATCACAGAAACCTTTCTGCATTTTTATACTTTCAAAAAACTTTCTGTACGACTTATAAGCTGTTTTCCTCATGGGGACTGAAAAATGATTTCGGATATTGCCATCTCTGTGGGGTTTACTACATATTATCTCAAATCTTATCACCAGTTTATGGAAACCCACTGAAACGGGAAAACACTAGGTACCCGAGACCCAAAATACCCCAAGATTCACCCATTTCAACCACATTTGAAGGTTGTTGAAAACACATGTGCCATATGTATTTCATTGGTAAGGTAAATGCTAATCCATTCTGATGATACCCAGACAACACTGAAGTACCGCCCACTCACCTGTCAATCACTCACTGCACAAAAACAAAGGTTTATACTTCGGCAGTTATTTGTGGCTTTAAAAGAAATAACTGTCTGATTGAAAATCAGATACACATGCACAAGACTTCTCTGGTATATAGCACAGATTATGTAAAGCAAGATAAGTAACACTTATTAATCTGACAAATTGGCATTGTTATATCTCAGAATGGCCAAATGTCTTCTGATTAATGTCTGCTTTCAATCACCGGCCACTCTTTTGTTTATGACAGTGGTCTCTAGCATAGCAATGAAATAAACACTCATTCCTTTAGCGTGCTATTGAGATAACACGTACGTCTAAACTCAAACTGCTAACATGTACGCCTAAACTTCATCCTGCCTCAGATGTGCCATTGCAGGATGAAAGACAAACAAACTGCAATTACTGATGAAACTACTGCAAACAGTATATATATAAAAACTGAGAAACAACACTTAACACAGAGCATGTTGTTTGTATCAGTTTTGATGACTAGTCTGGCCTGACATCATTTTCTAGCTATTTCCAATTCCCGTCACGATAGGATCTGGAATGATGTCTGACTCTGATTGTAGTCTGAGGTGGATCAGAAAACATCTGATGTGAAAATGAGGCAAATCATCACAGAAAAAAAGCGCGCTCAAAGCCAAGCTAGTTCTTGCATTCATTGCAATTTATCTGTCAAGGATGTGACTGGAAAGAATGAATTACCCTTAGAATATTTTATGATGTTCCTGTGAAAATGCGGGTTTGATATTCCTAGTGAGGCTCGTTTAACATGACGCTTTTGTCAAATTACTGGACTTCATCACCTCAAACTGAGAGCCGGGGTAAGAAATGCTTTATGACAGAGCAAAAGAAACAAGATATAATGACAGAAATGTTTTTTTTTTTTTTTTTTGCTACCCAGAGGAAAATATTATTTAGAGGTGTCTCTTTCATTGCCCAGGAAACAAAATGAGTTCTCAGATGTTTCTCCTAAAGTTCCTTAAGAAAGACAGCCACCAATTAGACTATTGAAAGATAGCCCTTAAAAAGGACCTTAAAAGAATAGAGCAATGTTTTGACCACATCTAAAGGCTTACATTTTCCTGGGAAAATAAACAATAAATGGATATACATATGTAGAGTGGTGCAGGGATGACTTATATTTGTATTCTCCGTGGTGGCGACGACTCAAGTCAACTTTCTATAGTACATTCGGCGCCTACCTCGGTGACCACGAGTAACGGGGAAAGAGGGTTCGATTTCGGGGAGGGAGCCTGAGAAACGGCTACCACATCCAAGGAAGGCAGCAGGCGCGCAAATTACCAATTTCCGACACGGAGAGTTAGTGATTGAAAATAACAACAAGGCCCTGTAATTGGAATGAGTGTATCTTAAACCCATGGGTGAGGACCCATTGGAGGGCAAGTCTGGTGCCAGCAGAGGTGTATAGTAACGAAGTAGAACTACTTAAGTACTAAAAGGCTGTATCTGTACTCCAATAGAATATTGTTTTTTTTCTCATACTTCTAATTTTACTTCAGTAGATATTTTCGATGAATTTAATACTTTTACTTTGATATTTTTTTAATATTCTGCTAGTTACTCGTTACAATTATGAAAATTTTACGAATCATTTGTTGCAAGTTGGCTTTCATGCTGCCTAAATCACACGCCAGTTGTATGGGGTAATGGTATTGATTGACACACACATTGACAACTAATGCAGGGGTTGTCCTGCAATGACATTTTTTTGGTGGCCGCCAACGCAAATTTGTATCCCGCGAAAGCGCCTTATTTGATTGCTAGTTCAAACTTTTGACTGCTTGACTGCTGACTACGATTTCACTTTTTTCATTTTAAATAGTGTGTAATGTTGCTGTTGATGCATGAACAGTATCTGCAAAGTTGCAGCACTGAAATTTTAGTGTAAGCAGAGATATCGTCTTTTAATAATCGGGAAGTATATTGCCTACAAAAACGACTCGATTGGGACTACAGCTGGGTTTAGACGTCACTAACCCACACATTTGCATCAACCCTCCCTCCGGAAAATGCAGAAAAGGGCATGCACATATTTCTGTGGCTCTTTTGAGTGTGTTGTGTTCACCCAGCTGTCAGGTCTTCTGTGTTCGAGCTTCCCACGGACGCTGTACTTCGTCAACAATGGATACAATTTATGTTTGATTATCCTCCTGAAAGTGACGATCGTAATCTAGCTCTCTGTGCTGCACATTTTATGGAAGACAGCTTCCAGAATCTTCAACACTGGATTCAACAAGAGACTGTTACTAAAACATGAAGCAGTTCCAACTTTAAAACCAGAGGCAGCAGTTGTTGGGCCACAACCTGTAAGTAGGCTAAGACTTCATCATTTTAAATGTATTTGCATGTATAATTCCAGACGTAGCCTTGTGTTTTATTTTTTTCAAATGCCATTGCTGGCTTTATAGCTACTAGTTATGCTATTTTGTGTCTACGACAAATGCGTACAAACATTATGGACCTGAATTTTGTATAAGTACTAATGTTTTAAATGTATTTTTCATGTATATACTGTATGCTTTATGACGTTATTTTGGATTTGATCAAGAACGTAAACTAATGCCAATGCTGTTTGAGTATAACATTAGTAGCCAGTCAGTTGCTATTGTTGCCAGTCAGATGCTATTGTGTAAAACAAACATGTATAAAGTTAAAAAAATGTAGCAAATTATCATTCAGAAACGTTTAGTAAGAGCCGTGTGTGGTGAGGTTCTGTTTGACTCTCTTCATCACAGCTTTCTCGGTCTGATTCTGCCTCAAACTGATACTGCAGTTCGACACATATTTACATCTGGACCAGAGCTCATGACATGCACGTTTCGCCCGTAAAGGTAATGGGCGTTAATGTTCCCATTACCTATTTAAAAAAGAAGTCATCCCTACACCACTCTATTATGCTGGGATAGGAGAAATTATAATAACATTTAAAGGTTGAATATACATTAAATAAAAAAAAACTGATATACATTAAATAAATAAAAAATGTGGGTAAAACTTTATAATAAGTACACGCTAATAATCATTAGTTAAGCATGAATAAACCATTAATTCATCATTCATAAAGCATTAATAGACATTAATAAGCAGTTCATAAATACAGCTATAAATGCTTTCTTCTTGATTTAAAAGCATATCTATAATTTGTTTAATTTTTTTTCCTTTATTAATGATCAATTTATCATTTCTAAATGAAGAATTGCATTTTTTATAAACCAGTTATTTAAGAGTTGTCCGTGGTTCATACGATTACTTAGAGCGAGTAAGTAAATGATTAATAAACTATTTAAATGTACATTCATACATCTTATTATTCAGACATATAGTGATGGTTACTTAATGTGTTAATAAATGCTTTATTAGCATGTATTAATGCTGTAATTAAGGATTCATTTGGGTAGTTATAAAGCATTTAGTAGTGGTCAGTTAACTATTTTTGTGACCTAATCTAAAGTGAGGACTAGTCATGCCTTGTAAAGCATTTTTAAAGGCTGTTAAATATTTCTATGTTCTGTATCACTGTGTTGTGTTTGTTACATTTTACTGTTTAGAAGATTGACGAGTCTTTAAATCACCTTTATAAATGCTTTACAAAGC